TTCCGCGATATAATCCATAACGTTTATAACTATATAAATTAATGTTGTCATTTTCCAGATGTAACAAACATCTTGTTTTACAAAATATTAATACAAATAAAAAAAATGACAAGATACTTTATCATTGAACATAAATACGTTTTTCAAAAATCTTGAAATGTCGTGAGCCGTTTAAAAAGGAATTATTGAGGTATCGCGAATACACTTTGAGAGAGATTTTTATACTAACTGTGACATTCTGCAGTTCTAGTATTTGGTCAAATTTTATCGTTATCCTTTAGTTTCGTATTTTTTCGTTTTTGGCTTTATCTTTAATGGTTTAATCCTTTTAACCACAAAGATATTATATTTTGCATACGTAGTTACAATGAAAACATGATCTAATAATAGGAATAATCCCGAGACGTTAATTTTTTCGCATGAAATTTGAGTGCTCCGAACGCCTACATCAACTTAGGTTGGTGGAGTAGCTTCTTAACAATTCATTCAAGGCCCTCAATGTCCCCCAAAAACAAGCTGACCTTATTAGTAGGTAGTGAAACTGTTCGTGAGTTTTAGATCTTTACATTTTAGGTACAAGTAGATAATGCTTTGAGTGACTTGAATTTGTCAAGCAGTGATAATGAGTTGGTCATTTTTGTTCTAGAGGTTTTTGAAATATGTTTTAACTATATATATATATGGTACCGGTGTTGTAACAATCTGACGGCTACCAAAATAGTTCTAATAAATCATTCCAGATCCATATCATTACTATTTTCTAACGGTGTATGTATACATTAATATGTCCGGAATATTTTTGGCAAGCTTTGTTCTTCTCTTCTTGAAAATATTGAATGAAGTTGTTGCTATTGGAATACTGAACAGGTGAAGTCATGTTAAATGATAATTACAACTTTGATACACGAAAATATTTAACTCCTACATAAGGGGCGGGTGAGAAGGATTGTTAACTATTTTCAAATACATGTTCTGGTATCGTTTCAAAGACTTATACTGGTAACTGCTTAATTATATATACACACACATCACAGATATATAGCAGGTGTGACATCCTTCATGTGTACAGTACTTCTATTGCATACTTGTAAAACATGTTAATCCTTCATTTCATTAGCACTTGGAGTGTATATTAAGTTTCTTTCTATACTGTATACAACATATAATTTATTTATCATACATCACAAAAAGTACATTCACATAAAAAGATACATTATTAGCCATCAAACTGTGTCCTTTATGCTATTTTTGTGTAATGTTTTGTCCAAATTTATAGAAATACCTATTTCTGCCACCCGTGATTTGAATTTGAAAAATTCTTTAAACATATTCACATCCATCTGTGTATGTAAACCACTTACTGAGAATGATAACTGTAGTAAAATGGGTCCCCAAATATGTTCAAGTTTTATTAGGGAAAACTTCATTACATGCAATTTTTCCTGGGCAGTAAGAAATGGCAGAGCCCGGGAAACTAGACAACAAAAATATATTTTGTGCAGGTCATTTATGTCAGATGACCTCTGACCTAATGATTTTGTTAGAAAAGCTATCATTATGTTTTCATGAAGGAAGTTTGAAACTAACGATAAACCATGCTTCATAATTTCAATCAAAATTACACATGTCACACTAGAATATATGTTATAACACAACCAAGTAGAAAATTAGAAAGGTACGGGATACAGGCCCAATTGGCCTCTTATTTTCTATCTTCTTAGTCCTGTCTATCTGTTTGTTAAGTTGTAAACTGTTTCGATTGCTCAGTCCATTGGAAAGTGAAAGTTTATAATAGAATGAAATGTTGCGTTCATGATACGTGTTTCATTGTAAAACTTGAAGAGGAAAAATGGACAGAGATACAAAATGTGACCTTAACCTCAAGTATTAATTGAATGAATTGATCATTACTGCACCATCTTGCATATCTAGATAATGTATGTCACTAGATATGGTTAATTAAAAACCAAATCACGGTCCAATAAAACTGTTGTTGTCATATTCAGATTTTCTTTTGCAGTCCCTGGTGCTAATATTTAGGAATAAACTTGAAACCAAACAACTTACATACAATTTACAATGCACTGAATTCATGTTGCTACTATTTTCACTTCCAGATCAAAGTTAAAACAGTTTGCAGTTCTTCAGGTACATTCTCGTCCACGCCGACTTTTGAATGGTCACACATTGGCAATGTGACCTTTAGCTGGAGGTCTCAATTACTGACAAGATGTCAAAAAGGGATCTTGCTGCCTATAATTCAACTTACTGTATAGATATGATATATTCCATTGGATCACGTCTATATCAACCTTCTCCATATCCAGTCTTAATTATGCATAACTGCACACCAAATATTTCTATACTTACTATAAACAAAGGTTGGACTTGTTCTTTATCCTTTAACACTATAACTATCAATATTTATTATATCATTATTATTATTATCATCAATAAGTTCTAGATTATTGATGTTGGTTCTGAATTGAACGAAGGGCTACCATTTATTCAAATTATTGACCTTGACCTACTTTCTAGTTCACTTTGGTCAAATGACTTGAGATCTTAAATTTTCTTTTTCAACAAGCAATAGGGCCGTAGTCATGGTATTTGTGTTGATGGATGTACAAGGAACAGGATTTGAAGTTTGCAGAAAATGTCTTTGTGAACCGACAACATCTTCTTTGTAAGATGTAGAGGAGTTGAGCAATTTAAAACTTACTGACCTGTTTCATGTATTCGTTTTTATAGTTAGATGACTGTTAAGGCCCCAGTAAACAAGTAATATCATGTTCTTTTTTCTCAATGTTGTTTGGATTTCTTTATACTTGAGATATATATCCTTTTTAGGATATTTTCTATTTTTTCTGAGGAAAAGTTCATAAGATATCACAAATCTGTTGTTATGTATGAAATCATACGAGACCTTTAACATCTTATTTATGTTATACACTTTGACTATTTACATCAGATGGAAGATCTGCTTAATAATACGTGAGATCTCATGATTTACTGAATCCCAGTCAACATTACTGCTGTCATAAATAAGACACGTTACATTCACCTACATGGTATACATTAATTTATCATAATCCAGCATATATTTACCATAGGATATAAATAGACATATATAATCGTCTCACAAAGACAATTAAGTTCTCATAACAATTAGGTAAGAACAGGTCTTTTGAGTAATTACGATGGCATAGGAAAAGGCTTGCGAACATTAACCACAAACTTTCATTTCTACCCTGACTTATATTGTATCCGTAGTGTAACTAAAACAGATGTGAAACCTTGATAGACACTACATGTACATCAGTGTGAGGCGTCTTTACTTTACATTTCACTTTAGGCCGATTCTGATTGGCTCAAATTAATTAAAACCCATTTTGATTGGTTATTATTGTTGAATCACATACGTTCAATTATCATGACTATGTCCATGCATATCACGTTTCCAGAGACATATTCTTATTGGATGATAAATTCCTATTTACATGTGGCTTATTTGGAATGAGTTTTTTACTTTCATTTTACATTAAAATAAAGGATGTCTATAGACAAAAATGTACGTCAATCAAAGAAAAAAGCAAATTCGAATATGAGGATAATTTGGAAGATAATATCATAGCACACTGCAACTACCTGATAAATATTTTAAAAAATCAAAAACCATGGCGCTGTTACGCTATATGCCGTAACAGCATCGAAGGGTTAAAGATTATATATATCTATAATCCGTGGGTCTGTTTCCACCGGCTACATTGTTACTTTATCTTAATTGGTATAAACCTTATGCACGTACTTAGATCTAATTCCGTACTTTATATAATTAATTAGTGACTAAGAGAGCAAAGGTCACATACTGGGGAGAATCTTAATAAACTACCCGGAAGCAATCACCCGTAACTAATATACTAACATTGTCAGACGGGGAAAATACAGGCTTTTGTAGTATGGATGGAAATATTTCTACAATATTGTAGCAATACTGACAGAGATCTATATGGAGTAGATTAGCTGTGTGAATCGGATTGGAACAAAGTGGAAGTACATTTTTCATTGACATGCGCAAACGTGAAAAAAAAAACAGAAAATAGGAAATTTAAGGAAAATACTAAAAGCTGACTAAAAACTAGAGCTGCAGAATGTCAAATTGATGTATACTACATGCCTCTTACTTCCGGAAGAATTTTTTCTCAGATGCATCCTGAGACCTCTCGCCCGGACGGTAACGAAACATAGCTACACTCATATATTACAAGTAATATATTAACATGTAACCTATCAAACAGGTAATTATTTGCACAGGTAGCTCCTTAACAGCTAACCCATTTAAGAGGAAACTATCTCATTAAAAGGTAACCAATAAATAGGGTTCTCATTAACTGGTAACTGTTTAAAACGTTTCACGTAATGAAGCTAACGTGGTATTTATAGACAAGTATCAGGTAAGGCACACGCGATTTTATGATAAATTTCATTGCAATCACGTCAGAATTCTTGCGCTCTTGAAAAATGTCGACAGGAATGTGATAGCACTGACTAATCGTTTGTTGGTAATGCCAGTAATATTGTATGGTTATATGGCTGGTATTAATATATTATCAAAAGGTGTACATCAAGTTGTTATATGTTCCTCACAATAGACATGAAATATGTTGTCTAAGGGAGATAACTCGGACATGAAATGTTATGATATTGAGATCGTCCAACATCTGTCGTCATTGACTTATCTGATATTTCAATAAGTAGAGTTCACTAACATACCACGATTGTGTTATAGATTTAATTCATGTACTGGTTCATTTCTGTTTCATTTTCATTTTGTTGTATGCGACATTGTATATCATTAAAATATTTTCTGGGTTAAATCAAATTAAATTGATATTTCATATTATGTGTGAAAGGTATGTTCACGTGACGTAACTGCTGATTCTGTGATTATATAATACTGTCAATATAAACATTGGATATATTTTATTTTATATTTTCAGCATTGCCACCAGAGCTCTACGGTTTCTGGGAAGCGTATCCATGGAAGTTTGACATTGGATTCTGCATTATGAAATCTTTTATACCGGAAATGACGTCATATGCTTCAGTATTGACAATTACCGCATTTACCATTGAACGTTATGCAGCCATCTGTCATCCAATGAGATTCCAAACTCTGTCTAGCCTTCCACGTGCTATGAAGGTTATTGTCGTAATCTGGATTATCGCCAGCGTGATAGCTTTGCCTTACCCCCTCCATACACGCACATTCTATATTGCCTTTGACCCGGTGACGTCAGAACCTATTCAAGATTCACTTGTCTGTAATATTCCGTTCAAATGGCATAAACGGATGACGTATATGTTTCAAGTGTCGACGTTTGTGTTTTTTGTGTTGCCCATGATTATTATAATTGTGATGTATGTGAGAATTGGAATTACTCTTTACAAGACTGATAGTTTAGTTGGGGACCAGAAGAAAAAACCCAAAGTATCGAACTGGGTATCTAAAAAGGGCGGGAGTCAGGTACGAAATGGCAGTAATCTACAGGTGCCTTTTAATGTCACCAAGGCTCGGAAAGCCGTACTCAAGATGTTAGGTGAGTACAGTTTTATTCCTACCATTCACGATATGAGCATATATTTACTAACGATACATAAGTATTGGTTCACTGAACTGATGTCTGAAATGAGTACTGAATAACCGGGTATTCGAGTGATGGTTTAATAGTACAATAAGCGCGTTGTGAGTATTGATTGAATACCAATTCATTCGAGGTGAGTACAGGAAATTCTTGTTCTCAGGGTAATAGTGACATCCATACAAAGAGAATTTCTGAGTGTGGCCTGTTTTGTATTTCCAAATAGGAATATCATTTTCAGTGAATGGTCTGTTAGGTTATCAAAAGGTAATATACAAAACTAAAACATTACGTTCAATTCATATCCTTTAGAGGTGTAGGTGTGGTATTGTGCCAACAAAGATAAAACCGCTGGGTTCATTCAATGTTTAATTCACAAATCTCTCGTTTGAATAAAATATGAGATCCAATAAAATACTGTATAACATGACCATTCCAATAGTAATAGAGTAAAGCTAACGTACAAGGCCTATATAACTTCGCAACACTCCACAATATCACAACGTCGTTAGTTATAGTAGAACAGAAAGACAAAACCCGAGGAACCTGACAATTGAACACCCGTCTAACCCTCAAGCCAGGATTCAAATGTACCCCGATATAGTAAGAGACAAAAGACGTATACCCTGGAGAAACTTTCAACCAATCAAACACCTTCGTCAAAGTCCGTCAAATGCCTTGTGTCCAGTCGGTCAGTGAACACTAATCACGTACACAAGTACATACATCTACACTACACAAAGGGACGCGCTCGCCAATACGTATAAACGTTACGCGCGCAGGTAAAACGTGACACTAACGATGTGTTCGCGATGATAAATAATGCACACATGTACATAACCAGTATATATATATACTACAATACAAAATATAGATACTACAGGAATCAGAACCAATGTACAAAATATGACCCTATTACACAGGTAATGAATTAATTGTTTCCTGTATAATGAGTCGGTAAGACGGTATCGCCCAGTGAGTTGATAACGGTATACATATGATCACATAAATGTACGTAACGACAATTGATATCATATGTTTTATTTACCCCTGAAACTAACCCTATACAAACTAACTAGAACTACAAACTAACTAGACCTACAAACTACCTAGACATACTTACTAACCAGACATATAAACTAATCAGACATACAAACTAACTAGACATACTTACTAACCAGACATACTTACTAACCAGACATACAAACTAACCAGACATACAAACTAACTAGACCTACAAATTCACTAGCCATACAAACTAACCAGACATACTTACTAACCAGACATACTTACTAACCAGACATACTTACTAACCATTTAACAAACTAACCAGGAACACGTTTAATTTAGATTACCACGAATGGCATCGATCGCTTGACCAGTATATAGGTATCATGTTTTTATCCTTTTTTTGTCTATAAAATCTTTACAGTAGAACATTCTGAAATGAAATTGTAGGCATAGAAACGGCGTCAATATTTAGATAGCGGTTCCAATTGACGGATTACACTGTCGGCAATGAATGATTTGTTTAAATCGAGTTGCAATCTTCATAAGACAACAGTATTTGTAGGAAATGTGAATATAAGCACTGAACTGTCTTGTGGCATTTATAACCCTTATAAATGACAAGATGTTGGCAGACTGCTGTGTATTATATGGATCTATGAGTCGCACTTTCCATTTTAACACATACATCCCCCTCTGGAACACTTTCTTTTTCGTTTACTTTCGGTAAATGACTCAGAACTAAATTGAATAGATAATTATAGTCTGACCATTAATAGCAGTCAACAACATGAAACCGCTTTTTGTCCGGTGGTTGGTACATGATGATTGACTTTTCACCAATTTGAGTGTCCTGTGATGTTGTAATAGAACATTGTAGAACAATATACAATTATGGACTTCGGTGCTGGTGAATATGATGTGATATGAACCTGAAGAAATTATATTGACCGAGGCGAAGCCGAGGTTAATATCATTTTTTCAGGTTCATATCACATCATATTTACCAGTACAGAAGTCCATAACTGTTTTATTATATGTTCAATAAGAACACAAAACATAAACAAAGATTCTGACTTTATTGAATGCTTTAACATCCTGACAACTGTAACAGAGGCGAAACGTTCGCCGGCAGCCTTCGCAACGTCTGTGATCGTCTGACAGATCGCGTTCCGGTCTAACTGCGCATGTACTGCAACAAGCTGTAGGGAATTTCCATTTAGGCTATATTTAGAAATCGATATTCACCGGAAAACCAGTCCTCATCAGTTTTTGAGAACTAATCACGTGTATAGAATCCAGCCAATGCGATTTCGAGAAAATTTCATGCATATAATAAATGTAAATAACTGATATATCTATGTAGATTTACATTATCTTATCAACCTGTTTATTTCACAAAGAAATTATCTCAGCGTCATAGTTAGATTTTTAGACATCAATGTAACATAACAAATGACAATGAGAAAATCATTTTCGTATCATTTATACCGTCACACAATCTATGTTTAGTATCACTTAAACCGTCAATCAATCAATGTTTAGTATCACTTATACCGTCAACCAATCAATGTTTAGTATCACTTATACCGTCACACAATCTATGTTTAGTATCACTTATACCGTCACACAATCTATGTTTAGTATCACTCATCCCGTCAACCAATCAATGTTTAGTATCACTTATATCGTTAACCAATCTATGTTTAGTATCACTTATATCGTTAACCAATCAATGTTTAGTATCACTTATACCGTCACACAATCTATGTTTAGTATCACTTATACCGTCAAACAATCAATGTTTGGTATCACTTATACCGTCACACAATCTATGTTTAGTATCACTTATACCGTCAACCAATCAATGTTTGGTATCACTTATACCGTCAACCAATCAATGTTTAGTATCACTTATACCATCAACCAATCAATGTTTAGTATCACATATACCGTCAACCAATCAATGTTTAGTATCACATATACCGTCAACCAATCAATGTTTAGTATCACTTATACCGTCAACCAATCAATGGTTAGTATCACTTTTACAAATTACATAAGCGATTTAATGATAAAACATCGTAAGTATATACAATATATGGCAGAATATATATGGCGATTGTCTACAGAACTTAGTTCATCAAAATTAAGTCATTTATGTTTCTGATCTTAGATCATTACAATTTGTATTCTATTGTGAAATAATCATAGTCATTTAATCTACTTCATACCTATGGAGTAAAAAATTCGTATTTTTGCACAGCAAGATACAAGAAATGAGTGAAGTAACTGGTTTAATTCGCGTGAAATTTTTCTAACGGACACTTTTCTAAGCGGCCAGGCTATATCTAATCCTATCCGATACTATTAGGGTTGGGCTGCGCATACAAAATCTTTGTTACACTTAACCCGAACCGTCACTGCTCGGATTTGCCGTTGCTTACACACGGTTTTGACCACTTCTATCAACTGCGTACTCAGACGGTGGTGAGCGGTCATTTTGGTTGAGAGAGCTGTAGTGTTCAGAGGTACCTAAAACTTGGTACTCGGATGGTGGTGAGCGGTCATTTTGGTTGAGAGAACTGTAGTGTTCAGAGGTACCTAAACATTGGTACTCAGACGGTGGTGAGCGGTCATTTTGGTTGAGAGAACTGTAGTGTTCAGAGGTACCTAAACATTGGTACTCAGACGGTGGTGAGCGGTCATTTTGGTTGAGAGAACTGTAGTGTTCAGAGGTACCTAAAACATGGTACTCAGATGGCGGTGAGCGGTCATTCTGGTCAAGAGTGCTGTACATTTGATTTGGACCAATCGTCCGTGACTCATTAAAACATTCGGTGGATTTTTTTCTGTCGTGAAAAACACAAAACACGCAGACGATAACCATAGCCATGGCTGCCAATACCTCAACAACAGCACCGACTATCAAACCGATGTAGAACGAGCTACAAGACTGAAATTCACACTTTGATATTTCAGTTGTAGACATATTCTTATCAGGACGCAGATTTACCTGAATAAATTTGGGGCTAGCTACACACAATGCTGCGAGTTTTGTGTCGCAATGTCGTACACGGGGATAGAGACTTCCATTTTTTACAGCAGCCGAGATACAGTGTAAGGGATCAACATAGGGTTGTTCTTCATTGTACCACCGAAATGTCTCAAACCGAAATACAGCGGCGCATAATGAAGTGTTCTTGTTGTCTCCTAATACGTCTCTAGCCTCTTCATTTGACCAATCAAATATAACGAACCCACCTACCGTTCCAATCCGATCAGTCTGTAAAAGCTGAGATAAGTCAATAATGCTTCCATTTTGGCACGAAGTACAAGAGATACTTCTCAGAACGGATTGTCCATTTCTCATCAAAATCTTTTTACAGTTCCCGATGCTAGAGTCTTGTGGAATATCAATTGGCTCGAACACAGGTAAGATTGGCGAGTTATTATCAATGTAGAAGACTCCGACTTCTGAGGAGGATTCCATATTTATATATTTACCACGTATTTTTTTATGCTTCTGCGATTGGTTAAAGGCATTATCACCACAAGCACAGAATAACATTCGTGACTGAATCAAAGTGAATGTTGTTTTACATTTCTCGAAGCAATCTTTTATACTGTTTGACCTGACGACCTTGGCTTTACGTCCATCTAGTTTATCCTCCTTATATCCGTACTTCAAAAGTTTAAGCCACGGTGTGTATATTACACTGGATCCTAGCCACACCTCCTCCTCCATATCTTGAATATTGACGTAAATTTCTGATAGGGACATGTTTGGTGGAAGCCCTTTACCCAGGACATCACATTCACCGTCCACGATGACGTCATTCCAAGACTTAGGTGACTTAGATAGTGTAACGTTGAAGTCGTATATCTGTTGTGCACCAACATTACATAATAGCACTGACCAGAGGACATAGCTATCCATAGCAAATGGT